ATGATAGCGTTGCAGCTAACGGCAGACGCCGTGATACATCACATACAGCGTTCTTCTTCTCAGGACGGTATTCAATAGCGATTTCAAAATCCTTCAAGACAATCTGATATTTCGCTAGCCTTCCTCTAGGGTCTTTACGGTAAGTAGAGCTTTGATGGGAGTGGGGTCCGTGACGACTACATACTTGGCTCCGTCAATATACGGTCGGAATTTTTGTACCGCATATAAGAGGCTCAATGCTTCAAGCTCGATAGCTGGGTGCCTTATGTTTATTTAAAGTACGACTTGCGTATGCAATGACACGTTTGAGTCCACCTTGCTTCTGTTTAAGAACACCTGCAATGCCTTTTGAAGAGCTATCTGTTTCGATGGTAGAGGGCTTTCCTAGACGTGGTGCTGCAAGGAAAGGAGCAGTTTTCTGTGCTTCCTTCATTTGTTTCATGGCTTCTTCACATTGTGCTGTCCATTCGAAAGTGATGGTCTTCTTTGTCAAAGCGTGAGGGATGCTGCTGTTTTAGCAAAATTGTAAATGAAACGTCGGAAAAACGAGCACATTCCCAGGAAGGACTTGACTTCCGTCGCCTTTTTTGTTGTCGAATATCGTCGATTGCTTTTGTTTCGTCTGGGTTTGGTCGAATACCATCTTTACTCAGTATGAATCCTAGGAATTTGATTTTTTCTCTGGCGAACTCACATTTTGAAGCCTTCAGTTTCATACCAATCATCTCAATTCTTCCAAACACTTGGTCAATATCCGTCAGTGCTCTTCTGGGGTTTCAGAGGTTATAATAAGATCATCGATGTAATTGAAGACTCTTGCGCGGAGATATTTCTTGTAGTCTTCCATAATCCTTTGAAACGTGGCAGGTGCTTCTTTTAGTCCCACATGCGAATATATTCAAACGCTCCCAAAAAAAAAACGGGCAAATGCTGCTCTAGTGTTCTTCTTCAAGTGGAATTTGATGAAATTCTTGTTGGAAATTAAGCGAAGAGTAGAAACATTGGTTGGCGCATAAATCAGGATGTCCTGTATATTTGGTAGAATGGATTGTTGTGATTTTGTGATAGCATTGAGTCCGCGGAAGTATAGCGAAGCGCAAGCATTTGCTTCGCGTTTCTCACTAATACTATTGGTGCGTAAATTGGCGGTGTTCTCGTATTATTCCATCTTCTAGTTTGTTTTATCTGCTTTTCGATCTCTTCACGCTTTTCCAGAGGTACTCGGTAGACCTTCCTAGTTGGTACATTT